GCTCGAAAGTATTTTGACATCATTTTGTATGTTATTGAGATCCATTAGAGACTGTTACCTGTGTTTTAAAAAGATTGTTGCTATGACAATGGGTCAGATAAGGGAGAGTTTGGTTGAAGGAAACCTATCAAAAAGATTTTGCAGTAGCTTAGGCAAAAGAAGTTAGGTTATCAAAACATTTCAACAATAGGACCAACATTGCCCATGAATTAACTAGGAAGAAAGAGATGATAGGTGAAGGAGTTCAAAGCTAATTCTGAGACTAAAAGTCTAGACAATTGGAACAATAGCAGTATCATTTGCAAACATAATGAAATTGAAGCAGGTTGTAAGGAAAGATTATAATTATGGTTTTGAACATATTGAGTTTGAATTTTATATGGCAGGAAGAACAGCCAGCTGGAAATGTCAACTTGAGATAGTTTGAACTATAAATGTGTATTTGGGAATCATCTGCATGGAAGTGATAGTTGAAATCCTGGGAGTGAATCAGCTCAAAGTGTGGAGAGAGAAAACTATTTACAGCAGTACCTAGAGGAATATGTGCTTGTATTAGTGGAAGAACAGGAGACAGCAAAAGAGAAAGCACCTGCTCTGGCCAGATGACTGTTGGTTGGAGCATCATTCAATATACCAAAAGGTTTAATTCCTGGTCAGGGCATGTACCTAGGTTGTAGGTTCAATCCCCTGTCAGGATGTGTATGGGAGGCAATCAATCAGTGTTTCTCTCTCACATAGATTCTCACATCAGTGTTTCTTGCTCTCTCTCAGAGACAGAGAGAGAGAGAGAGAGAGAGCACACAACTCTAGTCAGAGAGGTAGAGCAGAATAAATGGAATTGAAATTTCTTGCAAGTATTAAAATTTAGGAAATTTTTAACAAGTTATTTGACTAGGTTTCCTGAAAAAGATCCTGTTATTATTGTCAGTAAGAATAACTAGGTGGCCTTACTTTCTTTACTGTGTAATATGCTATGTTAACAGAAATAATATATTAAAATGATCTATATCAGAACATAGAACTGTTAAGTGAAACAGTGGTCTCAAGTCCCATTTCTTCTCTACTGTCACCACTTCATACTGGCTCTATGATCATGATTGACATCTAACTAGTTCTCAGTTCACAGTTCAGATCAGTGAAATTTTATCTACTAAGTGGCTTGATTGAGAGAGATCTGGTAGGATTATCTAATTAAGCAGACTGATCATTCTAATCATAAAGTTATAATTAGAGTAGGTTTCATAAATTTCTTCTCTCTCAGTGTATAAAAAGAACATCTGTAATATCTGTGCTTTACTTTCCCAATATGTTAAATAGAGGTGCCTTCTCATACATTTAGTCATTGCAGAAATATAAAAAATAAGTTTTAAAGAGTTTTTCCAACATTTGAAAATTTGGTTCTACACTTAATGGCCAATTTTTGGTGTCTTTCTTTCTTTGGAAAGCAGTAAATTGCCAAGTCATTCAGAACTTTTCACCAAACCTATAAATAGTTGCATTGCCGAGAATTTCAAGTGCCCAATTTTGTACATAGAGTATCAAGATTATGTTATAGTTAAAGCTTTGTTTGCAAATTTTTTCACTGTCTTGAAGACATTTATGGCCTTTAAAGTTTTCAAAAGACCCTCAAAAATTGGAATTCAAGTGCTGATAATGCATTGGTGGCAGTAATAATAATTGCAGTTAACATTTACTGAGTAATCACTATGTGCCATACATTGTGCTGTTTTTGCATGAATTTATTCATTTAGCAGTATTTACTGAGTGCCTACTATGTGCCAGGAACTGTTCTGACACTTGGGATCAGATAATAAACAAAAAAACCCTAAAATCACTACCGTCATAGCCCTTTTATTTATGAGGATGGACAGGTAATAAGCATTAACAGTAAGCATATGTTGGTAATAACTAAAGTAAAGTATATGGACCACAAGAAGGTAATAAGTACTATGGAAAAACACAGAGTATAGTAAGGGGAGTCAGGCAATGGAAATGGGCTGATTATTAAACAGGGTGGTCAGAATAGGCCTAATTGAGATGGTTGCATTGGAGTTAACCATGCAAATACCTGAAAGGAGAGCATCTAGGCAAATGGGACAATCTGTGCAAACATAGTAAGTTGGAACCATGTCTTGGGTATACAAGGAATAGCAAAGAGCTCAGTATGGTTCAAAGTGTTTAAAGGAGAGTGTGGTAAGAGCATCATGGACAGGAGGAGGGAGAAGCAGATCTTGTTACTACAACACTATAAGTACCTTTATAAAATCCCCATTGTATAGATCAGGGAATTGAGACAGAGAAGTCGAGGAACCTGCCACATATACTACAAAATCAGGAGTCAACAATAACAAGGTTTTTAAATGACTTAAGTGCTTATTTCTTTGTGACCCTCTGCAAAATTATTAGATGAAAGGTCAGTAGTTCCTAAGTGGATGATTTCATTGAATAATGGCTGTACTTCAATTTTCTTTCTCTGCAACCAACCTGACCATTTATAGGGCTTGTGGTTTCATTCAAGTTTCTTCAATACATATGACTTCTTTTTTATATCACTGCAGTAAGCATTCTGTGAGATTTTTATTACAAGGATTTTGTATTAGGATAAATCCAAAGTTTAGTTCTTCTAGCCTTTTCATATTGAGCTTCCTTAGAAACAAGGATGTATTCATAATTATAATGACATGGTGTATGTTCCTTAATTTTTAAGTACAGAAAGCCACTCTAGATTTTAATATGATGATGACATTTGTACATTACCCATGTACATGTTACTGGTGATTAGCATGAATCAGTGTGATGATAGTTGCAGATTACCTGGCCCATGTACATGCTACCCATACTTGGAATGAATCAATGCTTAATAATATACTTTCATTCAGAAAAATATTTTTTTTAAAAATTAAATGTATTGATGTAACATTGGTTAGTAGCATTATATAAATTTCAGGTGTACAACATTATAATTCAATATCTCCATACTAACAATATTTCAAATGTTTTATGGCTAAGTAGTCTACATTTTATTGAATCATCTCTAGATGGACAGTTAGACTGTTTCTATGTCTTGGCTATTATAAATAATGCTGCAATGAACATAGGGGTACATATTTGTTTATGAATTAGGGTTATCAGACTTTTGGGGTATATATCCAGAAGAGGGTTTGCTGGATCACAAAAGTATTACAATAAAAACAATTCATTAAATAATATAAAGTCTAAGAAAAAATATGTCTGTGGCCAGTTTATTGATCCCCTCGCTCATTCATAGACTACTCACCATTCTACTTCCAAGTTAAATGACTAGAGGAATTTGAAAGTTACAATGAAAAGTCACCATTAGGTGAAAAGATTTAATAGTTCATTTTTACACATGTTATATTTTTAGTTAAGAGAGCTAACATTTATTCTAAAGTAAATATTTTACTATATTGGGAATTCCATTTGTACCTATTTATTCATATTGAGTAGATAACAAAATTTGTTGACTTTTATGACCTGTAAATTTTTCAGCATTGAGTTTGTATAGATCATTTAATGAACAACACTTTGCTGGATTCATGGTTTTTTACATACTTTGTCCATCTGACAGTTAATAAAAAGTAAGAAATTACATCCTTGGTGTTTTTTAGTAGTCTTCCCACTGGAGGAGTGAATGCATAAATTATGATTATGTGGGATTGATGATTTTAATTGTTTAGCACTAACATGCTATGTCAAGTGGGGGCATCATTGGTCTTTCTTAAATAAGCTGTGTGGCAAGAATAGCTTGCTTGTTAAACTTAAATGATATTAGGGATAAATAGTTATTCTTCTGCCTTATTTTAGAGGGCCTCTATTTTATGTCTGCAGCCAACACTTTTAACTGATAGCAAAATTTAAAGTCCAGAAACATTTAGTAGTTCTCTTTTTAAGTTTTCAATTGTATCAGCCTCTAAAGTTACCATCACAAAATGTGTTTTAAGAATAATAAAAGTTTAGGGTAAAAATATTATTTTGTAGTTTTAGTTTTGTTGTCATCATTGTTGTTTTAAGTATACGAACAAAGAAAAGCCAAGTATATGCTTCAGATTTTAAATATACACAAACATGTACTGTACTACTAAGTGACTTAATATTTAAAAGTAGCTATAAATGATAATTAGAAGCTATTTTGAGCAAATCCAAGTTACATACTGTTTTGTGCTATTGCAGCCAACACCTGACTGTTGCTAATAACTCGAAATTTGTTTTGCCGTCTTTAAATGTATGTAAGAAGTATGTTTGATTATGATTATAATTGGACTATCTAAATTGCTTATGTTTATATTTTGATCTCTACTAACAGTTTGTGCTACAGTTAGACTTCCAAATACATTATTCTTTAATCTGGACCAAAAAAGGAGCTATTTGTACATGATTGCGTGTTGGCAAATTTTTTTTAGGGTGTGTGTTACACAGATATTTTAGCCTGAAATATTGAAATACTTTAATACAATGATTCCACCAATATAGCCTTTTCTTATGTATAAATTAAAATCTTGCATATCTACATCTTTTTTTATTAATTAATTAATTTATTTTTGTTACAGATGTTTCTCCTTTTTTTCCCCACTGATTCCCCCCTCTCCCTCCCTCCCTCCCTGCCCTGTCCCCAGCTTTGTTGTCCATGTCCATTGTTCATGCATACATGTGTAAAAGTTCTGGGGATTGTCTCTGTACCCCACTTCCACGTCTCTGGGACTACCCCATTCCTCAGACTGTTATGTTCATTATATTCCACAAATTAAGTGAGATCATATGATACTTGTCTTTCTTTGTCAAGCTAATGCCACAGGCTAAAACTGAGGATAATAACTTACAATTTCATGTCTTTTCTTGACAGTTACAGTTGTCTTGAATTGACAGTTTTGAAGGACCTAAACTGACATCAAAGCATTCAAATGATCTAGAAAGGTTAATTAATGTTAATTTTCATCTTCTATTAGGTTATTTTAATGTTTTTCTCTTTTCCTTTTTTCTAGCCAAGTCCTATACCAAGTCCTGTTTTGGGGCGAAAGCCAAATGCTAGTCAGTCTTTGCTTGTATGGTGCAAAGAAGTTACAAAAAACTATCGGGGAGTGAAAATCACCAATTTTACTACATCGTGGAGAAATGGTTTATCCTTTTGTGCAATATTACACCACTTTAGACCAGATTTGATGTAAGTAAAAATTTTCAATGTCCTATAAATATTTTTTAATAAAAGACAGCTTTTTAAAAAATAATTTTTAACACATGTCCTAAAATACTTGACTTCATATTTTTTATTACCCACACCGCTTCTTTTTGAAAGAAATGCATGCCAGAAAGAAAAGTTCTTCCTTCTTGATACCTAAGAAGTCCTTTCTTTTTTTAAAAATTATTTTTCTTCCTTATCTCATATAAAGAACTGACTTCAAATTATTATGAAAATTAGATTAGTGTTAAAATTAAATGACACAAATAAGCCTGTAGCTCTTTGTATATTGACAACAAGAGGTTACCTCATGGTGAATTTGGTTGTCAAGACTAGTCTCTGGTCCCCTGCCTTAACTTCTCTTTTAGATGGAAAGCTTCAAGCAATGAAACATGTAATCACTGTTTTTATTAATTTATTTATTTTGTTAATTTTCCACACTATTTGTTTTGTTGATTGAATTTCTGTGAAATTGCTAGTTACTCTTTGGTATTATTATTTTTTTTTTATCCTCACCCGAGGACATTTTTCCATTTTTTGTACAGATAGAGTGGGAGGGAGAGAGAGGAAGGGAGAGAGAGAGAGAAACATCGACGTGAAGGGACACATCGAGTGGCTGCCACCCGCACGACCAACCAGGGCCTGGGACAAACTGCAACCGAGGTACGTGCCCTTAGCGGGAACCGAACCCGGGTCTCTCTGTACCGCAGGCCGATGCTCTAACCGCTGAGCCAAACTGGCCAGGGCTCTTTGGTATTATTGAGTGTCAAATTTTTAGATTCAGTTTGTTTTAAAAGAAGCTGTTTTATCAAATACTGTATATACCCTACTGTGCCCTTTTTTTCTCTTAGTGACTACAAGTCTCTGAATCCTCAAGATATTAAAGAGAACAACAAAAAGGTAAGAATTGCCTAGGAAAAAAAATACAGTTTCAATTTTGGCTTCTGTGTAGACTTTTATTAATTTGGGGAAAGTGAGGTTGTTTTGTGAGGTCATAACTGCTGTCACAGAAGGTATTCGCTTCCTGCAGTTCAAACAGGATGCATGCTCTAGTTTAACGATCACACGTGCCAGTCTGACATCAGATTATACTATGTGTATGAACTTCATTAACTGTTAAATATTTGTTCAAGCATATTTCTTGTATTCAGAAATTAGCTTTTAAAAAGTACACCCAAAGGGGTTATGCCATAAACTATTATGAGTTTAGAAAAATCTTTTGGGAAAGGATAGGGGCAGGAACCTAAAGCCAAGAAAGAATGCCAGTGTTCCTAGAAGCAAAAAGATACGAACATTGTTTTGTTTTGTTTTTTATTTTCTGGTAAACTGCACAGTTTTTTTCCCCACATGATTAATTAATATACTGAGGTCAGAGCTCCCCAATTGGTGTTATGGGATATCAATTCTTTTAGCTTTCAAGGTAGCTGTGCTAGGGCTGAGTTGCTAGAGCCTCCCAGGGCCCACTGATTATGGCAGCAGGCTGACTTAACTACTTACCCCAATATGCAGGACAGTATTACAATTTTCTATGTGCACCCTGACGTGAAAAAAGAGAGGAGCACCTAATTCAATACACAGTAGTACTCAATGTTGTTGTTTGGGGGGAAGGGGTTGTGGTTAATTGAATTCTTCGACTACCAAGTTATTGAAATGTATTGTCTTAGAACAGTTGTCTCACCCTAAGTGCTATGGATAGAATTCAGGATGTCCTTAAATATGGCTAGGGAAAAAAATATTTTTTTTTCTCAATTCTTTAACTGAAATTAGCATTTTCTTCCCTTATAAATTTAGGCAACAAACTACTGTAGGATCACCCATGACTGAGACTTTGTCACCTTTATAATCTCAGATATTTTCATGTTACTTTATAGTTGTAAATATGTACAGAATACCTTTTAAGTTCATCACTTATTCAAAATTATAGTAGTTAATGCATTCATAAAAAGCACATATATTACTCTTTCTCAAATTGAGTTTTGCTAATATTTCCATAGTTCTATTTTTGAATATAATCTGTTTCTTTTGTAATCCTATGTATTTTATACATGTAAAACATTATTCTGAGAAGGAGTTCATTGCCAAAAGAATTCATGGAATAAAGTGATTAATAACCTCTGGTCTAGACTAAAATTTTTAATCTTCTAAAAACTAGATTAAAACCACCAGTAATAAAAAAAAGTCTATAAAGGGGACTTGATAGAAGTTCAATTAACAAACAAGAATTTAAATCAAAATAATTTTTTACTTTTATCGCTCTCTAAAACCCAAAATTAGAAAATACGTGATGCTGGCCATATGGAAATACATTTTAAAACTGTTTGTTTTTTAATTGAAATATGCTACCAAAAAAGGATAATCTTAAAAAGTCAATATAATTTTCTTTATAGAAATCACCTTTATGGTGGGCATGCTGCAAAGTAAGTCATTCTCATTAAGTATTTCTTGTATAATTTTAGAGAGCTTATGTCTATTCAGATGAAATGCCTTGATTTTCATCAATTGAATTATATCTTTAGATATGACAGTTTTTTACCTGAATATTTTTGCATTTGGATAAAATACTAAGCTAATTTAAGTGCAAATAAAATCATTATAAAATAAATCATTACTATTTTTATTAAGTAAAGCTTTCAGGTTACTGTTTGAAATTTCAAAAAGGAAACATTGTTGATTTTAACTAGCTATGTATTTTTAAAGAGTATGGGGAATCTCTTAAGGCTTAAGTCACACTTCTTTACATTATTTTTTCCAGAACTTAATAGTGATGAGCATACCTTGGATTTACATATTACTACATAGAGGAGAATATCCCATTAAAATTTTTTCTCAGTTAGCTCTCCCAGGGCAATGATCATGGATTTTTTAAAAGATTTTAATTTAGATGATCCTATTGCACAGTTCAAGTAATTGTTGTTATACAGTCTTTTCTTTTTATTACTTTGCAACTTCTTACCTGAAATCTACATTTAGTATCAGTTGCTACCTGTAGATTTATTTCCTGCTTTACACAGTTCTTCCTGATAACCCCAACTGCCCTTGATTGAACTTAAAGCTGCACAAGAAACAATGCCTATGTCTTAAGTTCCATGTAGATGTATAGCATAACTGGCAGTGACTCCTCCTTAACAATTAAATAACATCTAGGAGTGGATAAGACAATTTTCTTTCAAATACCTGTTTTTCCTCCACACGCTAACAGCTAAAAAGATAGGAGGTGATTGACCATAGCAGAAGAGGTTAACCTATGGGAAAATTCCTTTAAAAGTCTTGACCTCGCTTATAAGAAACCTGGTTTGTTTTTAAATGTTTTTTTAGTGCAATTAGTGTGCATAAAATGAATTGCTACATGAAGCAGAACACCAGCAGGAGATTCCCCACAAGGAAGCTAATCATTTTCCCAGGTCTGTAAAAAGTGCTGAATAAAAAAGGTATTTACCTGTGACATCTGATCTTAACCAATATGTCCGTGTTTTAGATAATTGGGAAATGTTTAGAATACTGCCTGTGGTGCTTTTCCTGATGGTCTGCAATTGATGTCTGTCAATCAAGTTGTCAAGACACTTGAGGGGGAAAATTACTTTAATTTTCCTAAAACATGTAAAATAACAAACAGGCCTAAACATGCACACCAACTGAGCCATTCTCTCAAGTAAATAGTTTGAGGTACCTATATTATGAAATATAGTATGAAAATCAAAAAGATTTTAATATTGCAATTTACTTTTCATTTTTTGTCTAACTTATTCCACAACATTTTTTTAAACTACCAGAAGAATACAAGAAAGACAAGGATTAAATTCAAAGATAATGTAATGCACTTTAACATGTAGGTGCAAAAGACTGCTTTCTTCTGAATTGTTACATGATTTCTAGCTTTTTATTTTTTTAAGAAAAACTTTGAGTTATGATCTTACGTCTAGATTGTTACAAAGACTAGACATTTTATATCCCAAAGTTAGAATATAATTACAGGATCTACTTTTTCTAAGAGTATGTCTAAACCTTCAACCAAATTTTTAATGCTTCCTAGCAATGCAATGCTGTTTTCAAGGTTTAGGTCAGGATACTAATAATTAATTGTAAATTGAGAAACAGCTTTGATTCTTCAAAACTAGAAAAACCTGATATGCCACAGTCATTTAAAGGCTAACAAAAGTAATACAATGCAGCCTCACATTCTCAACTAAGTTGCACTAAAAACATTTTCTTCTTTCTAAAATGGATGAAGTGAAATTGAGTCCCTCTTTTAATTATGAAAGTCAATCTCAATTGGGCATTTAAAAAATGTTTCTAGGCTTAAATAGCACTTTCTTGTATTTTATACTAAGAAGTCTAGGAGTTAGTTCTTTGGGGATATCTAGCTATATTTTTTCTTCACAAATCACTGCAGTTACGTGACCTTGGAAAAGAGAAGTTGATAGGAATGATACAGCTCCAGGTGAATTATTTCTTGTACCTTAATTCCTTATCTTTAAAAATCAATTCTAAGAGGTTTTTTTGTTTGTTTAACTCTCGTTTTTGCTTATTTTCTTTATTGAAAGAGAACATTTTATTTGTTATTAAGAAAATTTTTTTTTCTTGTGTCTACCCTTCTTTTACAAATGACTTGTAATTATGCCCTGCTGGTGTGGCTTGGTGGTTCAGCATTGACTCATGCCCCAAGAGGTCGCCAGTTCGATTCCCAATCAGGGTACTTGTCCAGGTTGTGGGCTTCATCCCCAGTGGGGGGCATGCAGGAGGCAGCCAGTCGATGTTCTCTCTCATCAGTGTTTCTATCTCTCTCCCTCTTCCTTCCTCTCTCTCTAAAATCAATACAGAAAAAAAAAAACAAAAAAAAAAAACCCTAAAAGTAAAAGAAAAACAAATGACTTGCAATTTTGTTCTGCTCTTGTGGCATAATGTCAGTAGCGTCATGTACCCTCCAACAACAACAAAAATCCACTAAAATTTCACTGTGTTCTTATGGTAACAATTTTATTCACTTTTAAAACATTTTTGAGGTTTAATTGACATATAACATTATATTAGTTTCAAGTGTACAACATGATTCAATATTCAAATCATTGTGAAATGATCACATTATGTCTAGTTAACATCCGTTATTTTGCTGTTTTTAAAATGTATAGATTATCTAAACTGTTAAATATATCTTTTGTTTTTCCTTCCTTTGAAGGCATATGATGGATTTGCCAGCATAGGAATTTCCCGGTTATTGGAACCTTCTGATATGGTTTTATTAGCAATTCCTGACAAACTGACTGTTATGACTTACCTCTATCAAATAAGGGCACATTTCAGTGGCCAAGAACTAAATGTTGTTCAGATAGAGGAAAACAGCAGTAAAAGCACATATAAAGTTGGAAACTATGAAACAGATACAAACAGTTCTGTTGATCAAGAAAAATTCTATGCAGAGCTCAGTGATCTGAAACAGGAGCCTGAACTACAGCAGCCTACCAGCGCAGCCGGAGACTTCTTATCACAGGACGACTCTGTATTTGTAAATGACAGTGGGGTTGGAGAATCAGAAAGTGAACATCAGACTCCTGATGATCATCTTAGTCCAAGCATAGCCTCTCCTTACTGTCGTAGGACTAAAAGTGACACAGAGCCCCAAAAGTCCCAGCAAAGCTCTGGAAGGACTTCAGGATCCGATGACCCAGGAATGTATTACAATACAGATTCAACTCATGCGCAAGTTTTGTTAGGCAAGAAGAAACTATCAAAAGCTGAGACTTTAGAATTGAGTGATTTATATGTTAGTGATAAAAAAAAGGATGTGTCTCCACCGTTTATTTGTGAGATGCCAGGCGAGCAAAAGCTTCAGATTCTAGATGTCAGTAGTAAGTTGGAGCAAGAAAAATTAGAGAATTCTAGACCCTTAGAATGCAGATCAGATCCTGAATCACCTAACAAAAAACCAAGTTTATCTCCCACGTCTAAACTTGGATACTCATACAATAGAGATGTGGATCTTGCGAAGAAAAAACGTACTTCCCTGAGACAGACAGAGTCTGATCCAGATGCTGACAGAACCACTTTAAATCATTCAGATCATTCTGCAAAAACAGTCCAGGTAAGTGAGTTGGAATGATGAATACATATATTTAGTTAATAGTTATTCTATTTTTGGGGTGGTTTTTTTTTTTTTTGTATTTATAGAACGCTTTAAAATGTTACAAATGATTAAAGGTGAAGTATAATTCTCACTGTATGAAAAAATTGAAATATACTCGCTCTTCATTTAAAGTTTATGATACATTTTTAAGCCTAAAAATACATCCCAATTTCAAGATTAAAAGATCTAGGATGTCTTTTCTTTTTTAAATATATTTTTTATTGGTTTTAGAGAGAGAGAGAAACATTGATAAGAGAGAGAAACAGCAATCAGCTCCCTCTTGTATCCCCCCCGCCACCGCCACCCTCCCTCCTCTTCGCCGGGAATTGAAGACTGAGCCCCCAACCTGGGCATGTGCCCTGACCAGGAATAAAACAGGTGACCTCTCAGTGCATGGAGCAGCACTCAACCAACTGAACCACATCGGCCAGAGCTGTCAGCTTTTTTTTTTCTTTTAGTTTGTTCATTGATTTTAGAGAGAGAGATCAATTTGTTATTTCATTTATTTGTACATTCATTGGTTGCTTCTTGTTTGTGCCCTGACCAGAGATCAAACCCACCACCTTAACATATCAGGATGATGCGCTAACCAACTGAGCTACCCTGCCAGGGTCAAATGTCAACTTTTCAAATAAAAATACTATTAACCTATAAAACAATATTTTACTGTAAGAATAAATAAAAGATATTAAGTATTTTATTTAGTAAAAATATGATTCTGAAATGTATAAAGACAAATTAAATATTTATAATTTAAAGCATTTTGTTCAGATGTTTATGTTGCATTGTAATTGGTATTTTCAGTCTCATCATTACTTGCAGATAAAAACTCCAGTGATATCAAACTTCTCCTCATGAGCATATAATGGTGCAAATTTAACCTTACAATATTGACTGTATTTACTTGAATCTATGATACCACGATTATAGTATACATTATTATTTTATGTACCACAAAGAAAAAAAAATGCCAATAAACTGATACATGTTTTTTATCACATAGAATTTTTATTTTATACCTATTGAGTTATTTTAAAGTTAAACATATAAATTTTTAAATCATGTAACATGTATATGTAAAAAGGAAATTTTAAGCAAAATAAATTATGGTATAATAAATTTAGAATTAGAATTTAGAATCCAGCTCTTCTGAATCACTTTTTATTTAAAGCTTTTGGTGTTCCTGTTTTCCCGCACAGTGTTGTCCTCTGTGCCATCAGAAGCATCACGTTACAGCAGTGGTTCTCCAAGTATGATCAGTGACCACTGAGACGCTCCAAGTCTCTTTCAGAGAGCCCATAAAGTTAAAACTATTTTCACAATAATATTAGAACATTATTTACCTTTTTCACTCTCATTCTCTCATATGTATATAGTGTTGTTTTCGGGAGGCTACATGATTTGTGATATCTCGACAGATCAAATATAGAAGTAGATAATAGAAGGCCACCTGCCTTCTTTTAAGCCATATATTAAAGAGATTTCCAAAAATATAAAATAATGGCATTCATCTCTTTTTTAAGTATTTTAGAATATTTTATTAGAATAACACATAATGGGTTTATTATAGTTATTTCTAAAGGAATGAATAAATAACTATTTTCAAATTTTGTTTTAATTTTTTAAATAACAAATATCAATCGAAACCTATATAAGCAAAAGCTTTTTGGGATCCTCTATAATATTTAAGCATATATAAAAGGATTCTGAAACCAGAAATTTGAAAACCTCTGAATTACAGTATTTTTTCACAATTGTCTGTGGGATTTTTCTTCTCAGTAATACTCATTGATAGTAGCATTTTCTTGACTTTATGGGAAGGTCCTAACAAAAGATTTTTGGACAGTAACCTGGTTTTAATTTCCATTCTCAAGCAGTACAGAAGTAGTTATTAATTTAAACATCAGGGAATTGCAGTCATACCACCAAAAATATCAAGCGCATACATATGTAGGCATTAATGAGTGTATCTTCACTACCACCTGTATAACAGAGATTATAAGATGCCATCAATTTTTAGTTTTCAGAGGTGTTAAGGAAAAATATGTTTCATTTTTTGTATATAGCAATTCAATTTTGGACAATTAAAAATCTGTTTTTCTTTTTGTACTGTATTTCATCAATTTTAAGTTACACATCTTTTTATAATTCTCTGAAATCAAGATGTTACTTATAATAGAGAGTATGTTAGAGTTTAATTGACCGTGTTTGTTCTTAGTAGTTCACAAAATAATAGTAAGTCAAATAATTAATGGAATTATATTAGAGGAAATTTGATAATTTAATATGACTATATAGACTTAAAGTCATAATGTTGCACATTTGAGTGGCTCATATATGTGATTATCATTATATATCTTACATATTTCTCTTAAACTTACAGCCAGTGAAGTAAGTGATTGAGTCCTATTTTATATATGAAAAATGGGGATTTACAGAGTTGCCTAAGATCGCATAATAAGCACTAATGTGACGTTGAAAACCAGCCTTAACTTGCTCCAAAGTTTATACACATAAACTTTATTGTCACAATATCTCTCTCTTTTTCTTTTAGCCATAATAGCACTAAGAATAATCATAGTTCGTATGTAAAGCAGATAACTTTACTGAAAGGCAATTTAGTAGTGTACATTAAGTTCCTTAAAATATTTATCTCATAGCCCAGCCAGTGTGGCTCACTGCTTGAGCATCGACCCACTGCACCAAGAGGTCACCAGTTCGATTCCCAGCCAGGGCACATGCCCAGGTTGTAGGCCCAATTCCCAGTGTGGAGGGGCATGCAGGAGGCAGCCAGCTGATGTCCTGTCTCATCAATGTTTCTTTCTCTCTCTTTCCCTAAAACCAATAGAGAAAAAAAATATTTTTAAAAATGTTTATCTCATAGATTCTACCTTCAGGAATTTTTCCTAAGGAGATATTCAGAACTGTACATTAGAATTTACTACAAACCCCTGACTGGCTGGCTCAGTTGGTTAGAGCATCCTTCTGTACACCACAAGGTTGTGGATTCAATTTCTGGTCAGGGCATATACCTAGGTTGTAGTTCGATCCCTGGTCAGGGGTTATGGAAGGCAACCGATTAATGTTTCTCTATTACATCAATATTTATCTCTCTCTCGCTATCTCTCTCCCACCTTCCTCTCTTCTTAAAATCAATAAACATATTCTTTTTTTTTTTTTTTTATCCTCACCCGAGGATATTTTTCCATTTTTTGTACAGATAGAGTGGGAGGGAGAGAGAGGAAGGGAGAGAGAGAGAGAAACATCGACGTGAAGGGACACATCGAGTGGCTGCCACCCGCACGACCAACCAGGGCCGGGGACAAACTGAAACTGAAGTACGTGCCCTTAGCGGGAACTGAACCCGGGTCTCTCAGGACCGCAGGCCGATGCTCTCACCGCTGAGCCAAACTGGCCAGGGCAATAAACATATTCTTAGGTGAGGATTTAAATAATAATAATAGCAATAATAATTTACTACAATGCCATAGTAATCAAAAAGTGTGGTACTGGCATAAAAACAGACATATAGATCATTGAAACAGAATAGAGAGCCCAGAAATAAACTTATACCTTTATAGTCAATATTTGACAAAGGAGGCAAAAACATACAATGTTTAATCCTCCCAAAACCTTGGGTAATTAAAATGTTCTGGAATTAGATAGTATTATTGTTCGCAACCTTGTGAATATACTAAAGTATATTGATTTTTGTACACTTTAAGAAAAATCCTTCCTTAAGATTACAGAAAAAAAGTTTAAAATTATTACATTAAAATATATAACATTTTATATATTTATATAATTATATTAAAATGTAAAGATTACAGAGACCCAAAAATGTTATATACAATAAATTTATAAAGAAGTTTTGTATTACAGCAAATAAAGTAATAGGCTTACTATTTGTCACCTCTTCCTTGACCATGAATGATACCTATGATTGAAATAAACTTATTTTGACAGGTTGTATAACCACTGAGTAGTTTACAAATATAGAATACATACTCTTTTTCTTTTCTTCTTTGAGGCTTCTAATTCTGAAATCTTTGCTTTTAAGCAACGAATGTTATCTCGACAAGAAGAACTTAAAGAAAGAGCAAGAGTTCTGCTTGAGCAAGCGAGAAGAGATGCAGCTTTGAAGGCAGGGAATAAGCAGAGTACCAGCGCAGCCACAGCACTGTGCAACAGGCAGCTAAGTGATGTGAGCATCATTTGTTTAAAAAGATCCTACGTTGTTCATTGTAGTCATGGGGCTGAGGATACTAATTTATTTACATGTTTGCTAAATTATTTTTCTATATTTTGTATATGGTGGGTATTTGTTACATTTATTAATTTACAGAGTCATACTTGGAGGAGCATGTGGTGATTATTTCTACATAGTAGTGTTAGCTATGAGGAAAAGATCCTGGAAGATAATTTCTACACATACACAGATAATCTGTTTTTTGTTAATTTACATTTTGTAATTTAGTTGTACTTTGTTTAAGATTGTATTTATATCCACAGAAGTTGATTTTGTTGGAAATATTTGAATATAATAATGATGCATATCATTTACTGAATACCTACCAAATATTCCAGGTACTATAATGATGTTTTGCATAATTTTTATTTACTTAACCCCATGAAGAAGATTTCAAACTATGTTCCAGATAAGAAAACTTGGCTGATGGGTAAGGTAACCTGAACAAGGTTGCAGAGTCAGTAAATCATGAATCCAGGATTTGAACCTCCGCTTCGTCAAACTTCAGAATCAATGCTTTTTCCTATCATATACTGCCATTTTGTTAAACCACATTTTTATGCATATTTTTGTGTAGTGCTTCACAGATAATAATGAACATACAGTAATAGAAGCTCTTAGATGAAGGGACCATGAACCTCTTCATGAATCTGAAAACTATGACAATCCTTCCCTACCAGAAAACTCACATATACATTAAACTGCATGATCCTTTTTTTTTATTAAGATTTTTTTTTTTTTTAGCCCCGGCCAGTTTTGCTCAGTGGTTAGAGCGTCCACCCATGGACCAAAGAGTCTCAGGTTCAATTCCGGTCAAGGGCACATTCTTCTGTTGCAATTCGGTCCCTGGCCCTGGCCGGGGTCTTGCAGGTGGCAACCAGTCAATGTGACTCTCTCACATTGATGTCTCTCTCTCCCTCCCTCCCTCCCACCCACTCTATCTGAAGATAGATGGAAAAATATCCTCAGGTGATTTAAAAAAAAAAAAAAAAAGATTTTTTAGAGCAGTTTTGGCTCACAGAATTGAGGGGAAGGTACAGAGATTTTCCATATACCCCCTGTACCCATCCCCGCTAACAATATCGTCCACCACAATGACACATATTTTACAATTGATGAACCTATGTTAACACATTATAATCACCCAAAGTCCACAGTTTACATTATGGTTCACGCTTGGTGTTGTATATTTTATGAGTTTGGAAAAATGTATAATGACATATATCCATCATTATAGTATCATACAGAATATTTTCATTACTCTGAAAATCCTCTGTGTTCCCCATATTTATCCCTCTCCTCATCCCCAACTTCTGACAAACTGATAATTTTGCTATTTCCATGATTTTGCCTTTTGCAGAATGTTGTCATTGTAACCACCCTGTAACTAGCCTTTTATCAGCTTCTTTCATTTAGCAGTATGCATTTGTGATTCATCCATGTCTTTTCACGGCTTGATAGCTCATTTCTTTTTAGTGCTGAGTAATATTTCATTGTCAAATGTGCCACGATTTATTTATCTGTTCAGCTACTAAAAGAACATCTTGGTTGCTCCCAATTTTTGGAAATTATTAGGAAAGCTGCTATAGTCATCCACATGCAGGTTTTGTGTACACATAAGTTTTCAACAACTTGGGGTAAACCCTAAGTAGCACAGTTGCTGGATTGTATGGTAAGAGTATATTTATTTTTGTAAGAAATTGCCAAACTGTCTTCCAAAGTGACTGAGCCATTTTTGCATTCCCACCAGCAATGAGTAAGAGTTCTACTCAATGTCCTTGCCAGCTTTTGGTGGTGTCAGTGTTCCGAATGTTGGCCATTCTAAAGGATGTGTAGTGATATCTCATTGTTTTGATTTCCCTGCTGACATGTGACATGGAGCATCTTTTGATATGCTTATTGGCCATCTATAAATCTTTGGAAGATGAGTCTGTTAAGGTCATTGGCCCATTTAAAATCAGGTTATTTTCTTACTGTTGAGTTTTAAAAGTTTATTGTGTATTTTGGATAACAGTTGTTTTTTTGTCAGATGTGTCTTTTGCAAATATGGTCTCCCTGTTTGTGGCTTGTCTTCTCATTCTACATTGTCTTTTGCAGAGCAGAACATTTTAATTTTAATGAAATCCAACTTTTATCTTTCATTGATCATGTCTTTGGAGTTGTGTCTGAAAAGACATCACCATACCCAAAATCAGCTAGGTTTTCTCCTGTGTTATCTTTACATTGTTTTTTTCTTTATTGATTTTTAGAAAGAGAGGAAGGGTGAGAGAGATAGAAACATTGATGAGAAAGAACAATGATCGGCCTCCTCCTACATGTCTCCCACTGGGGATTTGGCCCACAACCTGGGCATGTGCACTGACGAGGAATCGAACTGGCAACCTCTCAGAGCACGAGTCAACACTCAACCACTGAGCCACACTGGCCAGGCTCGTGTGTTATCTTATAGGAGTTTTATAGTTTTGTGTTTTACATTTAGATCCACAATCCATTTTGATATAGTTTTGTGATGGGTAAAAGATCTGCATCTAGATTTATAGTTTTGTATGTGGATGACCAGTTGTTTCAGTACCATTTGTTGAAAACTGTCTTAGGTTGCTCCTTTGTCAAAGGTTAGTTGACTATATTTGTGGGGTTTATTTCTGGGCTTTCTGTTCTGTTCCACTAATTTCTTTGTCTGTTCTCTTGCCAATGCCAAACTCTCTTGATTACTGTCGCTTTATGGTAAGTTTTGAAGTCAGATTGTATCAGTCCTCCAACATTGTTCTTCTTCTTCAGTATTGTGTTTGCCCCTCTTAGTCTTTTGCCTCTCCATATAAACTTTAGAATCAGTTTGCCAATATTCACAAAATAACTTGTTGAGATTGCATGCAATCTATAGATCAACTTGGAAAGAACTCATATCTTTACAATACTGAGTCTTTCTATTCATTACATGGGATCTCTCCATTTATTTAGTTCTTCTTTGACTTCATTACCAGAGTTTTATAGTATTCTTAATATAGATCTTGTACATATTTTGTTAGGTTTATACCTAAGTATTTAATTTTGGGGGGGGTGCTAATATAAATGATACTATTTTTTTATAAATGATATTGTAGTTTAATTTCAAATTCCACTTGTTCATTGCTGGTATATGGGAATGCAATTGTCTTGTATAATAATTTTATGTCCTACAACCTTGCTATATAATTACTTATTAGTTTCAGGAGAGTTTTTTTTAGTATTATTTTCTATTTCTACATAGACAATCATGTCATCTATGAACAAAGACAATTTTATTTCTTTCTTTCCATTCATATATATATATTTTTATCCTCACCCAAGGACATTCTCTTGTTTTTTGTTCAGATAGAGTGGGAGGGAGAGAGAGGAAGAAATAGAGAGAGAGAGAAACATCGACGTGAAAGGGACACATCGAGTGGTTGCCACCCGCACAACTGGGGACAAACTGCAACCGAGGTACATGCCCTTAGTGGGAACCAAACCAGGGTCTCTCTGGACTGCAGACTGACGCTCTAACTGCCGAGCCAAACCGGCCAGGGCTCCATTCATATTTTTTAAAATACTTTTCAAATATCAACTTAATAGCCTCTGACCTTGAACATCATTTTTTAGATTTCAAGTCTTTACACAATAACATGATACAAAATCAGTTTAGTTTTAAAATATTTTTTCTTTATTGATTTTTAGAGAGAGGAAAAGAGAGAATGAAACATCGATGAGAGAGAACGATTGGCCACCTCCTGTATGCCCCACTCTGGGGATTGGGCTCACAACCTGGACATAATGCCCTGACTGGGAATCGAACCGGCAATCTCTTGGTGCATGGGTCGATGCTCAACCAGTGAGCCACACCTGCTGAACAAATTATTTTATTTTTAATATAAAGAAATATAAAATGGAATAGAAAATAACAGAATTCATCACACATAGGAAGAATAGTATTTTGTAGGAAATGTTTTAGTTCTGTGGGTATGTGTGCTTCGTAGGTCTTGATATAAAGTATATTTTTAACTGGGTCATGATAAAATGTTTGAGAAACACTCATCTAGAGGGCCATTTTTAAAGGAAGAAATTTTGTAGCCTTTATGTAAACTTTTTCAATGCCTAGCCTGTTCTTTTACATCATCAATTTGTTGATTCAGACGTTTGCCAGATATTGTCTGAATTGAGTGTACGAAGAGTGACAGAAAAGACTTTTCTCGTGGAGTTTATATTCTGGTGGGAAGAGACAAATAATAATAAGTAAATAACTACAGAGTTTGAAAACGGCATGATATAGTAAAGGATAATATGAGTAGGCAGGTGCTTAGAGAAAGTTATTTAAATATTATTCCTATTTTACAGTTGAGAAAACTAACACACAAATTAATGAATTGCCCATAGTCACACAGCTAATAAGATAGCCAAGAGTTAAACCCAATTTGACTTTAGAGATTATATTTTAAAAGCATTGTGCTATTTTTTTTTAATCTATTTTTCTGATGTCCTTGTGACGTAGAGCTAGATACTGTTTTATCATGGTAGAGATTAAGAAAATGAGTTAGGAAAGGGTGTTTAAATCTACCTAGGGTTGCAGACAGTGGCAGCCTAGGTTTAGAATTCAAGTATCCTGACTTTTAAAGGTATTTTTCTTTTCATTTGATTTATTTTTACTATTTCAAATTTTCAAAACATATTTTATTGGTTATCTATTCTGTTTAAGGCACTAGTCATTTTACTTATAATTTTTATTTACCAAATAAAGCTTTAACTTTTAGCTAACTTATATTAGTGCGAATTCAACACCAGAAGTTAATTGCTAAAACATCTCTTATTCTATATCTGTGACATCTTACTATATCTAAAATACATATATTGGATTTTAAGAAACATGATGCTGGTGATGTTTTACTGAATTAGATACTCCTTTATCTGCTGGTAACATGTAACTTGCCACATTTTTCTGGAAA